TATTTATTAATATAAGATTAATTTAAAGATATTTGTATATTTTTGTTTAAAAAATACATATTTTATGTACAGACATTTGCATTTATTTATATAGGAGCATACTGTGTGCTCTGATTTTGAAATTCACGTGGAGCTCATTGGCATAACCCGATCACCAAGGGTTTGCTGTAGTGCCGGCCCCTGTGACTCCAGCTGCTTGCAGAAGAGTGGACCCAACTTTCCTCATTATTTGCCAATCTAGAAGATGGTCCATCGCTTTTGGGGCAGAGGACCAGGCGGGAAGTTTCTCTATCTCACACGTTACCCTCCTCCCAGCGCTCCCACCCTGGCCCCTGCACGTAGCATCTCGGGCAGCATCCTGAGGCACGGAGAAGGGGAGTGTCAAGCCCCTTGGGATTGGCCTCAGACTGTCAAGGGGAGATTCAGACAGGGAAGGGTGTTGGAAAGAAAAGAAGCTGACTTGAACAAGTGCAGAGGAGCCAGACTTCAAATAGAGCCGTTGGCCGAATCAAAAATACTTAACAAACATATTTAACAAGTGCAACCACGCACGCCTGTCTGTCCCGGATGCTCTTCCGAGGTTATCATAAGCTCAAGGTTGTGCCGCACTTTCGGCGCTGGGCGTGGCAAACATCCGGAGTACAACTGCTCTTGCTAGGAGCCCGTGCTTTCCGGGCATGCGTGTTTCATTGCTTTGCGGACAGACCCGGACAGAGCCCCTGTTGCTTTCATGCATCCCAGGTGTGTGTGTTTGTGTGCGTGTGTGTGTGTGTGTGTGTGTGTGTGTGTTTCTGCAGAGGGTGTTGTGTATGTTTATTCACAGTGGTCCCTGGGAAAAGGTCGGGTTTGCTCTGCCAAATTTCCTTGGTGACAAAGTTGAGCTCAGATTATAGCTCCTGCTGCTGCTCTCAGTGTGCTTCCTGTTCTCCTCCAGCAGCCCCGCTTAGCCAAGAATCGCGGTCTCTCGTTGAGTGCCGAGGGGATGCCCTGGGAGGAGCTGTCCGCTGTGTGATGCCAGCTGATGGCTCTGAGCTTTACTCCGTGCCCAGCATGCTGGGTGCTGCTCAGGTCCCCATCATGCACTGAGGACACCGAGGCTCCTGGAATAGCCTCACATCACGTGATGGACGAGTCCGTGACCCCCGGGGGGACAGCTGGGATTTGACCCAACTCCAGGGTCCCAGCTATGCTGTCCGGCTTCGACTGTCTTTCCGTATTCTCATCGACTCTTCACAGCGCTGTGAGATGGGCATTGTTCCCCCATCACAAGTGTAGAGAGTTTCACTCAGCTTAGTGAAATCACACAGAAAATGGCAGAGTGGGGATTTAAATTTTATCTCCCAGATTTTCCAGTTCACCATCATGGTGCCTGCAAGAATCCTGGTTCCCTCTGGCCACCAGGTGACCTCGGGACAGCCCGTGTGGCTTGTCCACCTGGCCCCTAACCTGCTGGCCCTTGGAAGAACCAGTCTCTGACTCCTGCTCCCCATGGGCCCTGGCACCTGCCTGTGTCCGTGTGTTTCACGACTCCAGGACCCTCCAGGTGACATCCAACTCATGGGTCTGTGGCTCACACCAACAGGGAGTGACACTGATTTATGACTTTCTCCTGAACATGTCTTTTTAATGCAAGAGAGCAAAGGAGATATAAGTGGGAGAAAGATTCCACTTAGGCTATTGTTCTTATTCTTATACTGAAATTCTACCAGTCGGCTGGAGCAAAATGAATAGCTGTTATTGCAAAATGCTATCATAATTAGTTACATCAACAAAAATTATTATTTTAAAATATAAAACAATTTCAAGACCTTGAAATAGTTAATAAGGAAATAGTGTATTGTTAATGTAGATATTGTAAAGGCGGTAGTTTAGCCAAATAATTATAAAAGCAAATTAAACTCCTTGGAGCCCAAAAATGCTTATCAAGTTTGAATAATAATACTTCAGAGGAAAAGGCAGATTAGTTTAGATTAAAAGGCTGATACTTGTACAATTAGCTGGTATTGTAGTATTTATAACACTACCTAAATAACCTTAAAGAATTGTATTCAAATTTTAGACATTTATTTTCCATCTGGGGCGTAAGTCTTTTGGGACAAGGTTTTATTCAGAATGTTTCACTTCTTGTCAGGTTAAATTACAAAAATAAAAATGTGTCCTCAAAGGGAAAAAAAATCTGCAAAATCACGTGAAATGGCTTTGCTAAATCCTCTTTAATCTGGACAGGAAGGATGCGCAAAACCAGAGGGAACTGCAGCGTGCTGGAGAAGGGCTCACATGCCATGTGGTTCCGGTGGGTGAGACCGGAAGAAGGCTTTGCACAAACCCACCTGCTCTGTGAGCTGGCAGAGGCCTCGCGCAGGTCAGTGTCCTCCCAGAGGAGCAGCAGATCCCAGATGCCATCCTAGCATCGCACCAGCGGCCCCTGTGTTGGCACCGCTGACCAGGAAATACCTTTCCACTTCTTCCTCCACCCCCTCGGGTGGAAGGGACTCTGCAGGCCACTCTAGGGCTGGTGCTGAGCCACGCTGGGCCAGCACTCTGAGGCCGCACATGTGAAATTCCACTGCCAACAGCGCTAAAAAGAAAACCTCAATCAATTGTCAGTCACTAGTGGGTGGAATCTGAGCATCTGGTCCCCAGGCCTTGCCTGTCTTACTGTGGTTCTGCAGGGCCACTGGCTCCACAAGGCCCACACCAGCCTCACCCAGGAGCAGCTGGACAGTGCCCAGCCTCAGGGTGGCCCACGGGTCACCTCCTGCCTGGGCTTCCTGCTTGACTGCAGGGATCCCCACAGTATGCTCTGCTTGAGTCACCCAGCGTCCAGGCAGGCAATGCCCTCTGATGGGCTCGCTGACCAGCTGGTGATGGGAGCTCGTGAGCAAATGCATTCTCCCCTCCCCTCCCCTGCCCACAGATCCCACAGCCGGTCACGCTTAGCTGTGGTCAGCTCAGTGGAGGCCTTCCTCTTGGCTGTCTCTGTGGTGGACCCCATGACAGGTGGAGTTCCTTGGCCTGTTCTTATGTGTGGATAGATTTAGTGCTTCACTTCTAGAGAACCAAATTCTACGGAAACGATTGGATGCCACCTTGAGGTTCAGCTGTAAGAAGACTCTGGCTTCCTTCCTGCATTGTCTTGCCCTTATGGGCTAAATTGTGTCCCTGCAAATTCACAGGCTGAAGTCCTAACTGCTGGTGTCTCAAGATGTGACTCTTTTCAGAGATAAGGTCTCTTAAAAACAGTTAAGGTAAAAAGTTAAAATGAAGCTGCTGAGGTGATACTTAATCCAGTGTGACCATTGTCCTCACAAGAAGAAGAAATTTGGCCACAGACATGGGCACACACAGAGGAAAGACCCTGTGAGGACAGTGAGAGGGTAGCCATTTGCGAGCTGAGCAGAGAGGCCAACCCTGCTGAAACCTTGATCTAGGACTTCTAGCACCCAGCAATGTGAGAAAATAAGTTTCTGCTGTTCAAGCTTCCCAGCCTGTGGTATTTTTTATGCCAGTCCTAACACACAAATATACACAATATGGTTAATGTCGAGTGTCAACGTGAGTGGCTTGAGAGGCGCCTAGGACATCAGCAAAGCACACTTCCTGGCATGTCTGGGAGGGGCGTGAGGGCACGACTGTGAAGATGAATCTGCTCCTTACCTCCTTCCTCTCTGCCTCCTCCCCTGCTCTCTGCTTCCAGGCCACCATGAGGTGAGCAGCTTTGCTCCTCTGCACTCTTTTGCCATGATCTTCTTGTTTTGGAGCCAGCTGACCATGAACTGAAACTTCTGAAACCATGAGCCAAAATAAACCTCTCCTCCTTTAAGTTGTAAGTATCAGGTATTTCGTCCCAGTGACAGAAAACCTGGCCACTAAAGAACTCTGTCTCATTCACTTTCCATTGCTCACACTGTGGATCCAGCTGCCTTGGCAGATGAGCAGCCCTAGCGAGAGCCCATCGGCCAAGGCACTGAGGTGTCCTGACAGCGGCCACATTTGTGAGCTGACACCTTAACTCCTGATGACCCACCCCGAGCCATCCTGTGCTCCTGATCCTGAAGCTATACGAGATGGCACATGTTTGCTGGTTTGGGAGTCATCTGTTACACAGCAATAAAAGATGAATACCTGTACCCTTGTCTTTACCCTTGTACCCCAGGGTGGCCCTAGGTTCTCCCTTAATTCTCCGAAACGCTCTGCCTCAGCCACTGCTTTCAGAGGAAACAGGCTAAGATAACCCAGTTTCCACCTGAGGTGGTCACACTCTACTCTGACCTTAGCTGTGACCATTACCACCCTTTAGCATTTTATTACTCAGTCTTTGGGCAAAATGTGAATTTAGTATACCTCTAAGTCATTTCACGGAAACAAAATGTATCAGTCAAATACCGCCTCTGGCAAGGAGCCGTGCTAGTCCTGCGCTGTACGATAAACCACAGAAGCAGTGACCTCTTTCAAAGGGCACACCCAGGAGTTGGGAGACACCCTACTTAGTTACTTCTCTCGTCCCTGAGCTGCAATACCCAGCACCCATAACTCTAAGGAGGGAAAGTTTATTTTGGCTCGAAGTTGGTAGAGGTTTTAGTCCATGGCTGGCTGGTTCCAAGGCAGGTGGCATGGCCAGGGGATATTGCAGAAGAGAAAGATCTCATGGCAGGCAGCAGGAAGCAGAGAGAGGAGGGAGGAAGAGAGGGGTAGACCCTGCCAGGCCACGCCCCCAGTGACCACCTCCTCCAATCAGGCTCCACCTCACATTCACATTCACATTCACATTCACTTTCAGCTGTAAACCCATCGGCAGACTCATCCACTGATGAGTATCACACCCTGTGATCCAGTCTCCTCCCCAAACCCCCAGCTATGAGCACTTGATGCTTCTGGAGGAATCTACCCTTCCGCAGTCCCTTGGCATTTGCTTACCCTGGGGCCAAAGGTCCTTCCTTGTAGCTTCTCTTTCAACAAAGGCCCACTCACCCCTGGCAGGCAGGGCGCAGCTCCTCAATGTGCAGGTCTAGGTATCTGGATCATCCCCTTCTTTCCTTGGTATTTGCTGAGACTTGCTCTTGGGGAGGCTGGGTGAGACAGTGGTTAAGCAGAAACTCAGGATTTAGGCTGTCCAGGTTCAAGTCCTGGTCCATCCTCACTAGCTGTGTAATTTGCACAAGGTAAGGACCTGTAGGGCCTTGATGCCCTAATCTTTGAGGTGATAACAGGACTTCCTGTAGGGTTGCCAGGAGCATTCATACCAAGCATATTCTTATGGTGCTCTCTCAGTGGAGCCTGGCATATCACAGATGTGGCCATGATGATGTGCTAGACACAAAGGAGGGCATTCACAAGGTGTAATTTGTGTTGCCAAGAAGCTAATGAGCATGGGGCACATAAGTGAGCAGGCCCAGCTGCCTCCAGGCCACAGAAACAGTGCCCAGGCCTGGCTGGAGTGCAGGGGATGCTTGATGAAGGAAAGATGCAGAAGGACCCAGAAACCTATTATGGGAAGCTGAGTAATGGCCCCAAAGATGCCACATTGGAACCCTGGGAGCCTGTAAATACATCCCTCACACTGTGAAAGAGACTATGCACGTGCGATCAAGTGAAGGATCTCGAGGTAGGAGGTTCTGCTGGATTATCTGAGTGGTTCTGATGCAGTCACAGGGCTCCTTACAAGAGGGAGGCAGGAGGACCAGAGTTGCAGGAGGTAGGGCACTGGAGGCAGAGATGGGAGGCCCTGGATGCAAATAGTGTCTGGAAGCTGGAAGAGGATGCATTCTTTCCAGAGCTGCCAGAAGGAACCAGCCCTGGAAGACTCATTTTGGACTTTTGGTCTTCAGAACTGTTGGGAGTAATCTGTATCACTTTAAGCCAATAGGTCTATGGTGAATTTGTCACAGCAGCAACAAGAGAGCTAATATCCACGCCCCATGCTCTGTGAAGAGTAAGTGAGGAGAGGCCTGAGTAGGTGCATTAGTCAGCTTTCCTGCTGCTGGGACAAGTTACCTGACACCCAGGACTTAAAGACTCATGCTCCTGAGATCTCTGGCTGATCCCATATCCTCTCCAAGCCTCTGTCTCCTCACGTGTCATACGGGATTAATAAAGATCATAGTGTAGCAGTAGAAATACCATTGCCAATAACACTTAGTAAGCACCTGCTCCATGCTAGGACTATGTTAAGCACACTCCATATGCTATTCCATTGAGATTCCAAGGACACCCTCTAGGGTAGGTTCTAGCATTGTCCCCTTTTAAAAACTACAGGACGAGGGCCAGGGATTTAGCTCAGTGGTTCTGTTGCTTGCTTTGCAAGCTCAAGGACCTGAGTTCGATCCCTGGCACCAAAAAACCCAAAAAAAACCAACCCCCCCCAAAAAAAACCCCAAAAAACAAACAAACCAAAAAAACTACAGGACGAGTCTCAGAGGGTTGAATTGGGAGATTCGGTGAGTGACAATTGATAAATATCTTACTGGCATATGGTAAGGGTCATAGTAAATGGCATCTGTTATTGTCACTGGTATACTATTGTCAATCTCTTCTCCCACTGAGAGGTAGCATCCCTGGGCTCTTCCATCTTCCCTGGGAGGAGTTGGAGGTCCCCAAGTCTGCCACAAGTGCCCTGTGAGTTTCCTGGTGTTTTGTGGTCTTGGTTTCTTTCTCGTCCTGCTCAGTGTTGGACCCACGTTGGGAGCTGGAACAGCAGGTATGGGTGGCACACGAGGTCCAATGGCTGTGGGCCTCAGCTCATTCTCAGATGTGGTTCGCTTTGGGGCCCCTCAGATTGGCCCATAAGCCCCAAGGGCTCTTCTGAGGCCCAAGGCAGCGATCAGCTTTGTTGTCCCTCCTGTGTGCAGCAATGGCTTTTCAGTGTGTCTAGAAATAGGAGCTGAGAGGCTGTGATGGAGATGACAGAAGCTCCTTAAGGCAGGCTGGGGTTCCAGCTGCAAGCGTCGTTCCCCCAGGAGCACGGCCCAGCCACCTCTCAGGGATACCTGGCCTCTGAGCAATGCTTGGTCCCAGCGACTTCAGTCTCAAGTTCTTTTGAAAAGACAGCAGTAGAACCCACCCTTGGAAACAACATGTGCAGACTACTGATTAATTGGAATATGTGTAACGTCCTGGTCAGCGTTCTGAGGGTGGTGGCTTCCTGTAAAAGCCTTGGCATTAGCTAGTGTTCTCTGACTGAGACCCGGATGGATGCCCAAGGCTGCCCCCCAAAATTGGTAGGGCAGGCAGGCCTTGCCCTCTGAGATTGGGCATCTGTCCGCCTAGGTTTCTATGTAAAATAATCTGAAGCCTGAATTCTTACCCATTGACAGGCCATGCACTGCCATCCTGACTGATGGGCTGGTGGGAGAAAAGCTTCCACTCTGAAGGGCAGGGGCTGACTGAGGGTGATGGATTTTCTACAGCTCTGAGAAAGTCGACAAGTCCTTTATATAAACACTGGTTTTGACAGTGAAAACAGTTTTCCCTTCTTCTGCGGAGGGCAGCAGACAGAGTAAATATTGACAAGTGGGCGGGCTTACTTTCCTGAGAGCTCAGGGCAGCAGGTAAATGGAGAGAAGAGGAATTCTTCTGTTGAGTCGTTATGGACACAGGGAAAGACATTCTCTTCAGGCACCATGTTTGCGGAGACTGGGATTTTATGAGACTCAAGAGGCTGGACGGAACTTTGTAGGACCAGGGAGCAAAGCCTGGGCTTGACTAGAATCCTCCCTGTCCCTAGGATTCTGAAGAAGGAGGCCTGAGGTGGAGCGCAGGCTTCCGCCCATGGGTTTCCAAAACTCCCCGTGACTTCGATGCTGGCCATTGCCATGGTGAGCCTCTCCTAAGGGACAACTGCCTGAGGCTGGCTTAACCCTCGCTCCCAGGTACCTCTCAGGTATGCGCTCTGGTCCTGAGAGCTTAGAGACAGCGCCGATGCTACAGACATCACCTTGACCTTTTGAAATGTGTCGCTTGGACACTGCAGGAGCGAGGACCTCATTTGGTGCACGGGTGGATGCAAAGATGACTCCAAAGCCCCCCAACATAGAATCCAAACCTTGCCAGTCTGCTGGCCCCGGACAGCCCACTCCTCTAAGGATCCTGCCTGGCCCCCTGCCCTTGCTGCTCATGGGACTTTGGGCTTGTGTGCTGAGGGTCCTGTGTGACATCTCCCTTGTCAGGCTGTAAGTTCTACCAAAGCAGGAACATCATCCATCTCCACGCCTACTGTGTCCTCAGAGCCTGGGGACTTTGGGGCACATCATACATGTTTGATGTAGGATTAGTTGATATAGATTTGATATAGGACTACTTGATTAATGAGTCCACACAGTATGGAATGAACTCACCATTCCAGAGGCCCTAGAGGTCACAGCCTGATGTTCAAAGAGCTGAAGGTGCCTTTATAAGAAAGAAACTTGGGCTAAAAAACATGAGGCAACCCTCCTCGCTTTCCCAATAAACGGCCCTCAGAGTCTCCTGGAATTTCCTTTGCTATCAAGTCAGTGCTCTCTTACTCCATTTGAAGCTCCCACCCACCTCTGCACTTGGGAAATGCCCTTCTTTCTCTTCTAGGGAAAATTACAGGCCATTGGGAAAACTCCCATAATCCCCCTTCCCTCTTGTCCACTCCTTCCCTTCTCTATAATCTGTCAGAGGGTCAGGTCTGGGCGGGGGCTAGAGGATGTGCTGGGGTTAGAAGAAGCTGCTGACCAGGACATCCAGGCCTTCCCAAGAGACAGGGCCCATTGCAGGTAGGGGCCAGCAAAACCATCAGTGTCAGATTTTAGCACATCTTCTCCACCTCAGGTCTCCGTCTCTCTCTCTCTCTCTCTCTGTCTGTCTCCCTCTCTCTCTCTTTCCCTCTCTCACACACACCAAAACACACATACACACTCACACACTCACACACTCACACATGCCTAGAGCAAACAAATAGGGCAAAAGGCAGGGCTTGTGCTCTTGTTAGATTAAAAAATTTAAATTTAATCCCAGTTGAATTAATACTATATCTAAATGGCGAATTGGCTTAGCACTTACGGGATACTAAGAGGGCAAGGCAAGATAACAGGGAATTTGGAATCATACCTTTGTTATGTTCTGCCTGTACTGTTTACTAGACTTTGTTAAGTCCCTTCCGTACCCTTTGGTATGAGAACTAGAAATATTCCTTTTTTTCCTGAGGAATAAATAAAGATTATTGAAGTGAAAGTTTCTGGTACACAAACAATTAGGTCACATTTAGTGAGTGCTTACTGTGCTTCAAAACACTTTTCTAAATCCATCCTGGGACTGCAAAAGCACCCCAAGCTTGACATATCTGGAGAATGTTTGCAGTTGGAGGAGACCGCGTTTGAGAGATAAGGGCTGTCATTTCCTGAAGAGATCATTCCCTTCTGCCAAGCGAACTGCTCTCTGCAGAGTTTGACTGTGATACGATGGGAGCGCCTACCCGGGCAGAACACCCCGCATGCTGTTTCCATGTCCTTCTGACCTGTGGCTTGCTGATCCCTGTGCCCTCTACAATGGGCGCTGTGCCTGCAATGTGCTTTTCTCATCAGCGCATGGCTGCAAGTTCAGACTCAAATGAGTCAGCATTTCCGAGCATTTATAGCTCCAGACTTTGCCATGTGTGCTCGCTTTATTGCTGTATTTTCTGCAAGTGCCTGCATCCAGGAATGACATCTCCATGTAGGCACCAGAGCTGACCTCAGCTCAGTGTTCCTATCTCAGCCTACTTTCCATTGCTCAGAGCTAACTATGGCAGTGTGAAAGGTTTTAGCATCCAAATGAGGGCTCAGAGAAACAATGTCTGCCCCCTGCCCTCAGGCCCTAAAGTCACTGACATTTTTGGCAACATGTCTCATCATTTGTGACTCTAAAACATGTCCTTCTGACTCCAAGTGGTTGGTTTAATTATTTCACATATTTATCCATCCATCATCCATTGATCCACCCATGTATCTGTGCATCCAAGCATCCATCCATTATCAACTATCCATCCATCTGTCCATCATGAGCACATGTGGAGCTCCTTTTTTGAACCAATTCACTTCCCAGTAGTGGGGAATTGGCAGTAATTCAG